TTGTATGAAGTAGCCAATGAAGGATGATTTGAAGGAAGAGTTTTTTGTTGAATTTCAAGTGCCTGTTCGTAGTAGCAAATAGCCTTTTTATAATCACCCTGGTCATCTTTGACATATCCCAGTTGATTATAATAAAGCGCTTTTTCACTCTCATCAGATGTCTGTTCGAGTAATACATTATAGAGTTCTTCAGCTTTATTAAATTGACCAATTTTAAGCAATAATTTGCCTAATCTCTTCCAACCAGTACTACCACCAGCTTCTTCTCGTATCCGATCAGTAAGTGATCGAAGTTGTTTGTCATCATCCGATGTTAATTCTAATTCAACTTGATAAAGTTGATTCTTATTGTCCATTTGTTTAATTGCACTCACTCGAAACACGGTGTGCATTGAGAAAAGAATTTCTTCTTCTTCCTTAAAATAACTCACCTCTTTGATGGAGGCAAATGGTGTTGATTCAATACAAGGATCAATGGACATTATAAAGAAAATGCCCACCTTATTTGGCTCTATTGAAGCACGTCCAGCAAAGTCGAGGGATACTTCTTTATCTTTACTCGTGGACAAGAAGTTGTTAAATGACATTAGGCCACCTTTTGCTTTCTGAAGTTTTTCAAAGTCTGATTTCATAAGACCTTGTCCTCGATAAACTACAAAAGGCTTTCTTCCATAACTACTGACTTGTTGTTTATGTAGCTGTTTAATTTGTTGATGTACATCACGTAGAAAGAAGCCTATATTAATGATAATATCGGCATCCATAATTCGAAGTGCTTGATTGAGCATTTTGTAGGTAAAACACTCACGTGTATACCACCAGATTGCTTTTTCTGGACGATAGTTACGTTCAAATTCATCGATCACTTGTAATTCAGTTGGATTGTCACTAAAAACTTCACGGCAACAAGCGGCTAAGTCCTTGATTGCCTTGGAGCCATATTCAATATCAAGGAGAATCTCCTTGAATAGTTGGGTATACATAAAAGTGGGCTCCAACTGATTTAAATTATTAGTTGAAGCCATATCATTTACCGCGAGAAAACTGACGGCTATTGTGTCTTGATCACATTGTTTAACCGCCACTTGTAATGCTTGACAAATATCTTTGATATTTGTATGGACACCTTTGACTTTTGTCCATTTTTGTACCCATCCTTCATGTCTAGATTTATTGCCACAAAAGATGTAAATTGCATCTAACGGTGGCATGCTATGAATTTCAGGAACCAAGCATTGACCTAACGAGCCTGATGTTATAACAAAGACTCGTTCCTTGTCAATCGTCTTGAGTACTTGAATGCACTGATTCGGTTCAGTGCATAAGCTGACATCATTGACCACATTCTTCAAATGAGCCATTGTATTTTGGCAGTCCTTGTCTGCTTGGTCGATGCTGGCATCCACCCAGATGAGAAGGTAATTTGTAGCCCTACGTTGTCGTGATTGACGAATAGAAGACGTCGTTGCTTCGTGAGACGGTTTTACGCTCGATTTTGAAGGTTTCGGGTCCATGATACGTATATAGTGATAACTGTATGTAGTTGCAGAACTGAATTATTAATGGTTAAGAAAACAAACGAATATCGTTATTTATATGAGAATCAGATCTTTTTATCTCAATATTTTTATGGCGTCATTGATTATCTTCTTTCGTTTATTTTGAGTAGTTACAACAGAACTTTGTCCTTTGCATGATTTCATGTACGTTATAAAGCCAGATAAGTACAAAGAACAGAAAAAAAGAATTCAGTCTTTCCAACTTTCTCCACAGATAAGAGATAATATCTTCACTAACAAAAAAAAATATTTGCTCTGTAAACAATGCACATTAAAAATCTGAGGCAGTGGTTCTATTCTGAAGTTCTAGAATTCCTGACGGTGGGTGTGGGTGCGGATCCATCTTTTATTTACTCACATCCTCGTGCTTTGGTCCTTATAATAACTGTAGTAACCTTAAAGCTACATTATATATTTTTTGTTTCTTCATACAATATTTCGTATATTCTGAAATTTTATATGTAGTCTGACACTATCTACTCTAAAATTCTGCTAATTCTAGTTTTCTAGAATTTCAATTACTCGAAAATTTTCATGTGTACTGATACCAAATCATTTTGTATATATTTATTGCATAATTCTAGAAGTCCAAAATCTCATCTATATGAACATAAAATCATTCCATATGTAATTTTTACTAAAATTCTAGAATTCAGCTCAGTGCGCACTTCGTTATATGAAAATATTGTGAAGAAAGTATAGACAATATTTATATCATATGTATATGTATATGTATATGGACCAGGCTAAAGGTAAAACTATATGAGAATTCTAGAAGGGTGTGGGTTGACGTGGGTATTATTTCCATCTCACATTTATACCCAGCCTCAAGATGGCTACCAGACCTCGTTCACACCCACAAGAACTTGATTTTTTTCTTAACAGATTTGTCGTGATAAGTACTATTATATTACGCAAGTTATATTTTCAAGAATCTTTTAAAATGAATAGATAGTGTAGATGTTGATTAAAACAGTCATCTATAAGTGATTATCGACATATACATTGATTAGCAAATGAAAATAATACAGAAAATACAATTTCCAATTAATCGTCAGATTAATAAAGAATAATATTAATATACATTTACTTAGAATTATATGAGATAATTATTTACCATGAGCAATCGATTCGATTAAAATAAATAAAAAATAGCTATCGTGATGATATTTAAGAACCCTTTTCAATTTTATAATTATTTCTGATTGATAAGATTTCATTTATTTCAGAGCATAAAATTCATAGATTGTTAAATTTTATAATACTCTTTATAGAACTTGCTTCACTATCATTCACACTGATGATGCACTGTGGTCACCGTTTTAAGGAAACTAACGAGTTAAGGGAAAACATGGAAACCATTAAAGAGGCACAAGAAATGAATTATGATTGGTTATTGATATTACAAATAGAAACGATTTTATTGATCGATAATTCATACAGTATCAGTTAAGGAATTGATCATATTATCATATGAGAAACTAAAAATTTTTAGAATTACTTTGTTTATTGATAAATGCTGGTAGTGTAGATGAACGTCGACCAGTTACACCCGCACCTTCATCCATATATGAGATAACTCGACTTATCTCATATAAGAAACCAGATTTCAACTATACTTCTTTTAAATTTAGTTTGTATATATAATAGAACTATGAGCTAACTCGACGTATCTCATGTAATGAATCATATTCCGATAATAATTCTTTTAAATTTAGTTAGTATATATATATATCTATGCGATAACTCGACTTATCTCATGTAATAAACCAGATCTCAATCATATTTCGTTTAAATTAGTAGTATATATATCTATAAGATAACTCGACTTATCTTATAAAATAGATAAATTTCAACTATATTTCTTTTAAATTTAACGTGAAAATTTTTCATATAATTTCACAGTACTAAATCTTTTGACTTATGGAATCATCATGTTCATCGTCAAAATACGATCCCTTGACTGATTGTATACAAATCATCAATGAATGAGATCATTTCTATTTATGATATCAACGACCAATCATACTTCATTTCTTGAGCCTCTTTGATGGTTTCCATATTTTCCCTTAACTCGTTGGTTTCCTTAAAACGGTGACTACAATGCACTGATACAACGACCTCTGAAAAAAAGGATAGCTTTTTCACAAGCTATTCTTTTTTAATTACTGGAATATTATCATCTACCGACTGAGCTTTCAGAGTTATCTAACAACGTATATTGCAATCTTTCTCCGAAATAATAAAAAAGAAATATATATCCAAGTATCATACATCTTATCTTCAATAACAAGCATCGTGTCCCTCCGCGAAAAAGAAAGGATATTAAAATAACGTCGTTTGTTGTTGGTCAAATATAGACCTTTTATTTTTCGTCCTTTTATTTGATATTGATAAAAGTACGTTTGTTTTAAATTTCCAACATGATGTTATAGAACTAACTGTTATATGATCTATCAACTCAAATAGCTTTTTAGTATTAACTTGCATAGATTATTTAGATCATACATACATACACTATCAATGACAATCCTAATCTCGATACCAATAGCTATAAACGAGAGAAAACTTGTTAGATGAGCATCGAGAGTTTGTTTTGAAGAATCCAGTGCGTATCTAATATTTTAATCAAATGACTTCAATCAACTCTAAATATCCAAAATAGCAGCTTGTACATAAGTGGATATCAAGTCATAACTCAACATTATCTAGTATGAGACATGAGATATCGAAAACAAAAATCACTCATTTTAGGATCATTTTCTTTAAGCAAAGTCTGAATTAAAAAAGAACAAAACTAAACAGGATACAATGTAGTTTTTATATCTACCACATCATATTGAATTATTCAAAAGTTCAAAAATTTATGATAAAGTACATTGAGTTTCGAACATTTTACTCGAATATGTTTATAAATGTGTGTTGAAAGTGAAATTATGTAAAATAAAACTATATTATTACAATTATAGGATTTTCTTTTTATCATGTACATTTCATCATAGTATATTCAATATTGATAACAATCAATTGTTGCTGCTAATGAAAAATTCAATCCTGAATTAGCAAGAGACTCTATGGTTAATTTTGTGTTTCGAAATAATTAAAACGAAAAGAAAAAGTTAGGCGTCACTTCTTTCTAACAAATGTTTTACAGCTGATGACAGAGAATGAATCATCAATGTTCTTGCAACATATGATAGTTTGAATTCTCGATTTCGATGATATAAATTTGACTTTATTCTACTATAATTATGAATGTTGAGAATTTTGTGAAAACTTCAAAATCGTTATTTCAAAATCCAGCTTCGCATCGCATTTCGCAGACGAGTCTTGATTCATCTGCTATCTAGTCTAAGTTGTAGTTTATTTTATAAGAGCAAATGAAAAATTTTATTCAAATAAATAACTGGAGTTATACAGTCGAGTCAACGTTATCGAACTTCCGAGTCCAGGCCATTAAGAAAATATGTCGCAAAGTATGAAACATGTGACTGATTTTAACTAATTTTGTGTACCATTCATACTATTTTTATTTACAAAAAAAAACAAGTCAATTTTCACGATATATAATTTCTTATAATTTCCAATGTACACTTATTTTGTTGCCACTACGCTGGATGGTATAATTATCAATAACTATATCGAAAATGATTGCTTTTGCTAAAGTTCTAACCATGTTTTCATCTGCCATAGGAATAATGAAGCATAGATAGTACAGATTAGGAATACGTGTTCTTCGTTCCATAATAAACTTCATAAGTGATGGAACATTTGTACCTGACATACAGCCTATTTCAAAATATTCTATATGTGGACAAAGATTGATAAAAAATTGAATTTCTTGTTCATCTTTTTCTGTAACTTGACCAAGTTTGACTTTTGTTATTTTGTCAATAGCCGATATTGATAGACCATTTCTGGTATCTTCAGTAGATAAAGATTCCAACGAAAATATCGGTAGATATGACAGCTTTAATGATTCAATATTTGGCAATGAAGGTAGAATATCGGATAATATGTGAAGACACATATTATCATTTTCTATATTTAAATGAGTAAATTGAATCACTTCAAGAGCAGGTTTGAATTTCTTAATAAATCGACAACTGCGTTCGTTAAATTTATTATCTCCGATAGTCAATTGTATAATATGATGGTCAGTTTTTTCTCGATTAGAAATATAATTATTTTCTATCGAATTTTGTTTCGAATATGTGTCATTACTCATATTTTCATGAAGACTGATCCATTCTTTTCTAATAAAGAGAAAATAAAAATATATACGGAATCATTTTATGAATGATTTGTCTGAATCTACCTGTATGAATGAATTGAAAACTCCATTTTGACATCATGGATTTTTAGTTCACGAAACAATTTTCGTTCGATCCAAAATGGTGAATTAAATCGCTTAATGAACCCATCAATTGAATCAATTAAATTTGTCATGTCATTATCATAAATAAGCTGAATATACTTAAAGTAGAATTTTTCCAATTCAGGCATATATTTTTTAATTAATTGTTCCCAACGATTACTGTTAAGATAAGCTTTCTTCCAATATATATTAATATTCAATATTTGTAATTGAGAAGATATTTCCTTAATAAATACTTCAAATTCATCAAATGAATCATAAAATTGCTTAAAACAAATCGATTTTAAATGCGGTAATTTCATTGACAGATCTTTTTTGAATTTTTTATCTGAATCAATCGCTTCATTACAAGATAAATGACGAAGTTGTGGTGTGTAATGAAGTAGAGAATTTAGTTGATTGAGAGTACAAAAATGCCCAATAACCAGATATTCGATTGTACTAAATGTTTTATTGATTACATGTGGAATATTAATTTGTATTTCAACACCAGGTACATATAGTTGGTTATATTTTAATGTAGGTAAAGAAAAAATTAATGGATAAATATTTCCAAGATCAGCATAATGCTTATCGTTTATATAAATGGTTAATGTAAAGAGGCGAGGTAAAGACTTTAAATAAGAAAGAGTCGTGAGTAGTTTCTTTGTTTTGATTCCTTTGAGAATAACTGATTCAAGACGATGAAATGATGAATCAATAATACAATGATTAAAGAACGTATCAATCAATAATTGTTCAATCGAATAATCAGCCAAATGAAGGGAAAGAATACGATGTGAATTTGGAATAATAACATGTTGACAACGATATTCGAGTTCAAGTTTTGATTCTGCTTCAAGTTCAGGTTCTGATTCTGGTTCTGATTCTGATTCTGATTCAAGTTCAGGTTCTGATTGTGATTTAAGTTCTAATTCAAGTTTTATTCGAAGTAAAATTGACGAAGAAATGATAAGATTTTGTAAACGAATATTAAGATTTGAAAATGATTTGTGTATATCATAAGCATCAAGATATTCGAATATTTCGTACAAAAGCTCATTTGATAAGTTTTCAAAATAGGCATACGATTTACTGAAAAAATAGAAAAAAAAGATTATATATTATAACAGATGCGTTTGTTGATTGCCTTTCATCACTTGATCTTGCTAAAGAAAAAAAATGAAAAAAAAATTATACTCTGATATATTTCTAATTTACTTCGTAGCATTTTCGTTTCTACATCAATCGATTGACTCGAACTTAGTTGTCGTTTGATTTGATTCATATTTATTCCACAAGTAAATGTAAATTGTAAAATTTTTCTTAAGTGTACAAAATCGACTGGGTGTAAGGTTATGTATGAACTGTTTTTTTTCTCCTATTTTATATAAACAAACGAACATCGATTGTTTACTATTTTTTATTTATTATTCTCTGTTCTATCATTTTCTTTTCGAAAGAAAGATAAAAGAAAATATATATTTGTGCTTAACACGTGTTATAATTTTCGGTAAAAGATAACAGCGTTTCTTTCTTTCCTTTTTGAGTTGGAAAACATCCACAAATGAATCAAATTAACTTCGCATTTTGATTCATTATCATGTTTTCTTCCCAGTGCTTTGAATGTTTTCTTAGTTCATTCATATATGTTGTTTTTCTCTTTCACTGATATTTATGTAGAAGTAGTAGATTGGCTGATACGAACAAATTTAGTGATAGCACACCGAGATGATGGATCTTTAACATCAATTTTATTACATGACATTTGTTTAAACTGAATTTTAACAAATCGGACGGAAATTAAAGAATCTAACTATAATTCAACACAAAAGAAAAGAAACGCTTCATATTTGTTGTATACACCACATCGCAAACGTCGAACGGAATCAGCTTGTAAACTATATTTCACAACTAAAAATTTTCATTATTAAGTAATTTTTTATAAAGACAAAGCAATTCGATCAAGTCAAATCAACGTTTATATATTTGTATAGCAACATCTATATTTTCTCTTGCTTTATGTCTGTCTATGTTAGTACCAGATCGTGCTGCATATATATTCTGCTATATTTTTTCTTGTGTGCTACACTGATGAGCAATATGGAAGTTTATCAAAATCCGATGAAAATATGAGGATATGAGTATGCGTGTGAACGTCAAATTCACTCACATAAATGCGCATTCATAGCCAAGTTCCTTTAATGAACATATGTATACTCTTAAGCAGTGGAAAATGAGTCTACATTACTAAACATATATAGTAGACATGTCAATTACGTTGAAATTTTGTAAACTACTAGCATCAGCAAAGGACATACCTTTAGGGCAGCAGAGAAAGAGTGGACGATCAAAAAAAGTAACTGCTCTTTGAAACTTTTTACTTAGTTATTTCTTGATTTTCACTGAACAAAATTCATGTATTTACTTACCAATTTTTTTATAATGTATATAAAATATGAACCAATTTATATTTTATATCTGTCTATAAACACAAAAGTATAGCGAGCGGGAGGCATCTATTGACAAAAAAGAACAGAACGGGAAGAAAGAGGTAATGTTAAGAGTGATGAAATAAAGAATGGATGAAGAAAAAAATTTAACTGAATCAAAGCATTCTTTTATCTGAAAAATGGCATCAACATTACGTTCAGCTGCTTCAGTACGTACTGGTATTTCAGGTGGTGCACGATCTGGTGGTCAAGCATCAGGTGCAACTCGAAAAACAGCAACAGCAACAGC